CTTTCCTCGGAGTTCCATATCATTTTGGAAGAATATACCCTCTACTTGAACACTTTTGGGAGGTTCCTTCAACGGGTATCCCAACTGTCGACGAGCTAAAATAGGATTGTAGCTGATTCCTCCATCAAAGCTGAGCAACGGTACATTAGCAAAGTCACCACAACTATCAATGATTAATACTCCATCATACACTCGATTGTACCAATCGATGTCAGAATGGGTCAAAGCCATAACTCTTGGAGACCAATGCTCTTTGCCAATGTTTGTAAAAGAGCTAGACTTCAGCAAGTGCGAAATAAACCACTTGTAAAGTAAAGGTACACAGCAAGTAATCATCCCTCCACTACGAAGGTTTCGGAGATGTATAGAGTGATATGCATTTCCCAACAGAGTTGGCACTGGGTTGTTCTTCATAAAGATCTTGAATGCTTTGAGATCGATGAAACCTTCAAAACTTGGGAATAGAAATAACCCATAGACAATCAAAGCAAAAATTGCCTCAAACGGAGCCTTATTAGAGTAATCAGCATAGAATGAAGCCTTCTCGATTAGGAAACCTGTCTCTAAACCAAGAATTCCATCCTTAGTAACTAGGTTGGCTTTGCTGTCAGATACCTTCAAACGGAGGGCTTTAGCAATATCTTTCTCATCAGGGTCCTTTTCCAAGAAGGGAAAAGGAGATTCCACAAGGACAGGTAGACCAACCAAAAAAGAATACTCTTCCAATGTAGGTAGCAACTGGAAATCTGGAAAGGTGAAACAATGGTAGAGAGGATCATAGAATTGTAGTAGAGTGGCAAGAAGTCCTTCATTCACTGAGCAACCCAACAAAGATATCAGCTTCCCATATTTTTTCTTGAATTCTTCTTGATCTTTGATGAAACCCCACAACTTCTTTAGGTCATCCAATTTGGGACTCTTAAAAGTATATTTCACAGTATGTCTTTTATTTGAAGTCATAGTGACCTACAATGTCCATAAACGAAAGTAAATCCCATGAAGTCCGATGCAGAATGATGTAATATGAATGCAGCAAACACAAGTATTCACATAAGGACGTAAAGATAAACAAACAAAGGGTGCCCTAGGTTTGCAACGAGCATGGAGTAAAGGTGTACCCTTCCTAAAGGTTTAAGGACTAAAGGTTGTTTGTACCTGCAGAACAAGGTTCTAAAGGGACTCAGAATCATCAGCCCATCTATCGGATATTATCAATTTCCCAATTACTCGAGGATTAATAGTATTCTCAAGAGAACTTCTTTTGAGTGTAGCTTCGCGTAGCACTATTTCGGAAGTACTTCCTCATAGTCTCGCACTACATCCTGATAAAGGCCAAAGTTAGGTTAAGGTAACTACGGTCCTCAATATCATAGGCTCCAAAGTCGAAAATAATGAGTGTCTTTACGATTGCTCGTTCAACAGTACTATTTCGAAAGGGCCTCAACTGAGCGGGATTCTCGATTCAACTTAGTAGGGATTCAACTCCCTATAAGCCTCCTCGACTATATCACCATTCTATCTTAATTTCTCTCAAGTTCGGGTGTAGAACTTTATCTCACCACTCAAAGACAACAATCCCAAAAGAAATACAAGAGAAAGCATGTAAACAATTAATCAAGTAGGCAGATATATAAAGCAGTAAACAAACAAAATAAGATAGGGAAACCCACTAGAGGATTCCCCAGTGAAGTCGCCATTTCTGTCGCGGTGAAAATCGGATACCAAACTATTGATTAGTTTGAATCTTTAATTCATTTTGCAACCGAACTTTGATTTGTCCAAAGGAAGGGATAAAGATCGAAATTCCCACAATGCAATGCAAATGCAAGGTTAGATTGTTTAGGTTCGGGGGTTGGTTAAACTTAGGGAAGGTACTAGCATCCTAAGTTTCTGTAGTACTCTACAGGAACCTCTTGTTTTATGTTTGTTTATTGCTAAGTGTTATCTGCTTAAGGTTAAAAGACCTAGAGGTTTATTTCTAAGTATACTCGATAAGATGTCGCATCTTATGCCTACATATCCTTACGGGAGTGGAATCAGAGTATGTTGTAGTTCACCCTAAAGGGTTTGAGGAGACCTTTGACCGTGGTCAAAGTTCCTACGGGTTTAGGGTAGTTGTTTTGATTGGGTTTAGGAGAAGAGACGAGTCTTCATTTTAAGGGAGAGATAACCACCACAAATGTAAGAGGGGTTGTAGGAAATGGTCTTTGCATCGTCTTAAGAAAAGGTCTTAAATACTCGGATGGTCGCCAAGTACGCCTTTATCGCTCTTAAGGCAAAGTTCCTACATGTTTGATTGTATTGTTGTGGGGGTGGAGATTATATCTCACTTAAGATGATTAACATCTATTCTCTAATGTGTTTGAAATAGTTGTGTAATGTTGATTGTTTGTTTGTCTAAGTTGTAAAGATAAAGACAAGGTCCTTCCTATGGGGTAGGTTCTAAACTTAAACGATCAACTTGAAGAATCAAGGATCGAAGGGGTTATGATGCATATGATGTGCACTACACACAAGTGTTGACTTATGTGTAGGTTTTTCCTTTGGACGGGATGCGATAAATGTAAATGCGGTAATGTAAATTGCAATAAATAAACTGCAAAAAGATAAACCATACACATACGCATGAAAGCGCTGGAAGTGTGTGAGAGTGAAAGGTGTCGTGACGTGCACGATTGTTTTGTATGTTTACGCGGTTGGTTGATTTTAATTGGGATTGATTTTAGTTTGAACTAGATGATTTGATTTTAGATGAGATTGATTTTAAGAAAATGTTAATTAAATTAGACCTCTAGGATATTAAATAAAAGGTCCTAATACACTAAGTAAATAATTTTAATCATATTATTTTAAAAAAAAACTTAAATGTGAAGTGATTTAATTTTGTGGCTATTACGAGTTGAATTAGGTTATCTTAAAAACATTGTTTATTCCTAAAACATTAACTAGGTTTTACTATTAATTAGAAAAACTGGTAAATGTAACTTATTTATGAAAAATTATTATAGTGAATAACTATTATTTGATTAAAATGCTATTAAGAAGTTAATTTAATTATCAAAATATTTTTTATATATGAATTAATAGATTTTTAAAAAGAAGTTTTTTTTAGTTATAAAAGTTTATAAGGGTTGATTAATTGAAATTATCAAATAAAAGATAAAATAATTAATTATTAAATATAATGAAATTTTTTTAAAAGGGGAATTAAATAATAAAATTAAAAAGGTAAAACTGATTATGATTAATAAAAGGTTTTTTATTTATTAAAAAGATTAATTAAAAGAATAGATTAAGATTGATTTAAGGTGATTAGGGTGTGATTAGTGTGGTGTGAGGCGATTATGTGTGTGATTAACAGTTAATCAAGATAAAAATAAAACAATAAAAAAACAAAGGGAAACCCTAATTTTCCCAAATCCTTTCCGTCTTCTCTCTCGGTCTCGCCCTCTCCATTTCCCGATCATGATCGACCTCCCGTGCGTCGTTTTTTCACGTTTGTACCTGAAACAACAAAATGGAGCATCAATAGTTCAATAACATAGATAAAAGTTGAGGATTACCGAAGGTTGGCGTGCGCTAGTGGCGGCGGAGAGGGTTCGCGGCGGTCGGAGGTGACGATGACAGACGTTTCGTCGGTAGGATCTGCAGCGGCTGGAGATGTTCCGACGGATGAAAGATAAGTCACTTTTGCTCAAAATTCCCAGCTTTTACACTTTAGGGTTTTTTCTGTGTAAAACTCCCCTCCTTCGGGCTATCAATTTCCGCTTCTTTTATAGGCTCTCGAATGAAAACAATTTTGAATGCTGTTGATTGTTGATTTGGGACCTTCCATTTTGGTTTAGCTGAGATTTGAAAACTTTCCTTCTTCATTCGATTTATTGATGCTCATTAAATGACATATTAAATCTCTGATTTCTGTGATAGGATTTGGTTTGATTTCTGAATAGGATCTTTTATTCCTTCAAAGAATATCCTCTAACGGTTTTATTTCTGTGATCGTGAACTGGCAGGTACAGGTGGCAAATAGCTTGGGCCAACAGATGGATTTGGAAGCCCAGAGTAAGAATTCGAACAATACGCTTTGGTATGAACTGCAAACTTCCTGATACTCCTTGGGTGAGGGTTTCTGCAAAAGTGTTGGTGATGATGAGTAACAATCCTGAATGTCTCCCTTGTGAACAAACTGAATGCAAGACATGTCTTATGGAATGAGGGTGTTAGCAGTTACAAACACGTGAGCGAGGAAGAGCAAGGTTGTTGTTCTTCTCTCTCAACTCCGATCTCTGTTCGTATCTAACATTTCTTTCTGTTTTTTTTTCGTGTCGGATGATGGTGTGCGGGGAAATGGAGCAAGGTTGCTTTGAAATGGCAAGGTTCTCAGTTCAAGTTCTATCCGAGGCTTCCAGTTCGATCTCCTCATCAAAGTTCTTGGTATCCTTTCGAATCTAAAGAGTTGTTAATAACCGAGTCCTTCGCAATTTTGGCTAATTAACCTGTGGTTCTTTTGTGTAATGCAGACATTCTAAAGGCTAAGGCTGCTCAAATGGATCACGACCAAAGAGAAGTTGGTCGTAGGTGACTCTGATGAATGCTGACATGGATACAAAGAGATAATGTTGATGCCGAGGATTTGCAAACGATTGGATCCATATTAAGGTGCTCTTTCTAATTGACTTTCCTGTTACTGTTATCTTTGGACTGCATATCGTTCCTCAACTACCAATAGGAGAAGTGGCCTCTAGGTCTGGTCCAATATTGGCAGGTGGTGGCCGCTTTGAAGCAAAAATAAGTGGAAAAGGAGGCCATGCCGCTATTCCTCAACTCTCTATAGATCCCATTTTGGCAGCTTCCAATGTGATTATTAGCTTACAACACCTTGTTTCTCGTGAAGCCGATCCTTTAGACTCACAGGTAAGTATCAGTTTATGATATAAATTTGTTCCCAAGGAACATCATTCCTTATATAATGTATCTTACCACAGGTTGTGACGGTTGCAATGTTCCAAGGAGGTAGTACATACGATGTCATTCCAGATTATGTCACAATCGGTGGCACCTACCGAGCTTTTTCTAAACAAAGCTTCAACCGTCTGAGAGTGAGGATTGAACAGGTATGCAATCAAAATCATCCAATTCAGTTTGAATGAGAGGGTAAAAGTAAAACAAAGACTTTAAAACTAGTTTTTTTTATGCAGATTATCGTCGCACAAGCTGCTGTGCATAGGTGCAATGCGACTGTGGACTTCCTTAATGGAGTAAAACCTAGCTATCCTCCAACTGTAAACAATGGTGACTTGCATGAGCATTTTGTGAATGTTGCAGTGAATATGCTTGGTGTCAATAAAGTTTATAGTGCCATGCCACCGGCCATGGGAGCAGAAGACTTTGCATGCTATCAACAGGTCATTCTCGGTTACTTCTTCATGCTTGGAGTGAAGAATGCTTCTCATAAACAGTTTGAGTCATCATTACACTCACCTTATCTCGAAATCAATGAAGATGGACTCCCATATGGAGCTTCACTTCATGCATCATTAGCTGCCAATTATCTTCTAAAACATCAGCATGATGTACCTAATTTTCAGTTTCGATCCTGGAATGGTTTTGAATTGATAACTCTCTGAATTTCATTGCTGCTAATTGTTTTGTTTAATTGAAGTTTCAAATAAACTAACCAACATGAGAGGTGGGAGTTGTGGCTTGGACTGCACCGCTCGTATTTTACTTGTAGGATTTGTAACAAACTTCTTGTACTGCACCTACGGCTGGAACCTGGCGGAATGTGATCTACTTATTTGGAATCTCTGGAGGCGTGAAGAACTTCTTGAATGTGACTTTATCTTAGTGTTGTAATGCACTTCTTCAGTACTCTGTCTTAGTTACTTTGTTGGGGTTAGGATTAGCAAAATGAGGCTAGCGTACTCGTATTAACAGGATGTTCACGTTGAGCTCTGGCTTTTTTCTGCAGGTTGGAGTGATAGCCCTAATATCCAATATTTCAAGGAGGGTTGCGTGCGTGTTCGCTGGATGACGGCGAAAAGTTCCGTCCTAAATCTCGGACGTAGTCTCAGAATCAAACTTTAAATACTGTTATTGATTTAAAATGTGAATGTGAGAATGTACATGAAATCTTGCTGTAGTAAATCTTGGATTGTCTGCAATTCTGCGGTGTAGGTGTGCTCTGGACTGTGGCTTTTGCCCAACCATACCATATTATTCAAATGTACGATTTGTTTTGAAAGTATTTCCTGGTTTGCTTGTGTTATGTATTCAGGTCTGTCAAAATATTTTAGTACTGCATAATCTTCTGAAAGGTGAAGGTTTTATCACAAACTTGTGATGGTGAATTTTTTCCATTTGCAATATGAATCATAAGAATGTATAGTGTAGAGAGTGCAAAAAATCTCCACATTTGAACTTGTTGGAGATCAACATTTCGGTTGTAAAACATAATGACTTGGTCAATTGACTTCTTAAATCTGGCCATTGTAATGAGAATCAAACTTTGTGCATGCTAGTGTAGGATCTTGGTATTAGGATGTCTCGTGGTTAAACTCAGCTTTTCTAATCCATGATTTGGAGCCTTCTTGAGAACTTGCACATCCTTCCCTCATATAACGTGAAGACGAAAACTCGTAGTGTGAAATTTAATGAGGTCCTCGATTTGAACTTACTATAGTTTGCAATCCCGTATTCAAATCCTCTTAGCCTCTAAGATACTGATTTGAAAATAAAGACAACGGTGCCAAAGTGTCATAACCACAATAAAACATGTAAGAATTCCCCATGCTCTTATAACTTGGGTGGTTAACTTGAAATTCAATCTTTGAGCTTGCAAATGAATCCTTCTACAGACTTGAAGTTGGCCTTTTCACGAATAACTCTATGAATGAAAACTTGACATGAAGATTTGAATCTGAATTTGGTATGCTCGGATGAAGAAATACTCTAGTACCAGAGCCACATCCCAAGGAACCTTCTGAGGCTGAGGGTACGTCAATGGGAAAACCTAGAATCCTTAAATCAGAAAGGTTATTCTTAACTGCTTTGACTGCAAGGAAATTCATTAAAAACTGCATCTACATAAGTTGGTTAGTCACAATAAATACGCATAAAAGCATGAAGACATCATGTAGGAAAAGATGCACAAGGAGGTGGGATCTTGCGGTCAAAGATTAGGGTGCAACAGCGGGCACCAATATACTTTGACCCTTATCCTTCGCTTTCGAAATCATAAACTAAACCCATATATATAACCCATAAAGTCCTAATTGAAGTAAGGTTTAGTTCTAAAGCATACTCGATGAGATATCGTTTCCTGACTCCTATGAGCTATGCTCAAATATAGTATCAGCCTTATAAATAAATTTAATTCATGTCCTAACTAGTGATTTCGGTCACTAGCCATGATGGTATCTTTTTCAAAAAAAGACTTCTTCGAGACGAACATATATGTTGTGTTAACAGTTTCAGAATTAACATTTCTGGCTCGCTAATTTTGCTTGATATCTTAGGAAGATTACACGAAGACGTCACCGATTAAATTTGAAGACTTTTCTGACCTGGGGCAAGTCATTTTTCCAAGAGGTTTAATCCATACAAGTTTGACTTTATCTATAACACAAGTTTGAAGACTCGGTTATACCGTCAATCTGGGGCAGTTACGTCGAGCTTCTGCGAATCTTTCCAAGAGTTTGAAAACAGTGGGGCATTTGGACACCATGTTTTCTGTAAAATCCTCTCGAGATGACTTTGTGACTTGGGGCATTTGAAAATCGAAGGTGGTTCTGACAATTCTGTAACGAATTCCCAGTGGGCTGATTAGCTTCACCTCTCCAGTGAAGCGGATGTTTATTTCATCCCCATGAAGCCTCGACTCCAGCATATTCAACAGCTTTGTTAACCCAGGTTTTCCCTTTGAAGTGGATATTTATTTTATCCATGAAGGTTCTCCCAGTGATGAGTTGGATCCGTTCCAGTAGACCTTTATTCTCATCTTCAATAAGATCATTGAGATTATTTTGGCAAATTCTTCAGCAAGATCATGTTATACCCCAAGTGGAATGTACTCTATTCACCAGATAAGTTTTCGAGACCTGAAGCAGGAGTGTGATCCCGTGTTTGGTTCTCCACCTATCCCCAGTGGCACTTCTACTTTGAAGATTGGTCGGATGTTTGCTTCGAGATGTTTATTTTGTCTCTGTTTGCCTTTGCTCTTTTGTTTTGTCAACATAGACATACGCATATCATATAGATAGATAGCATGGCATATGCATTTTGCATCTTTGCGTTGGTTTGTTCTGTCTCTTTGGTCGTGTTTATCCCTGAGTGTTTGGGCGCGTCTTCTCCTTCCAATTAGAACTGTCAGCCCTAGGCAAAAAAAAAGCACAATATTTCTATTTCCCCACGAAGTTCGATCCTCGTGGAAGACGGTTGTTTTAGTACATTCCCATTTGAGCTCATACCTCAATGGTCGAGTCTTGCTTGACGGTTTCTGTTCAGTTATTTCCTGAATTGAACTTCGGTTCTTGGCAATCACATTGTGGACATCTGTAACTTTTGAATATGGATTAAGCATGCATTTATTTTGCACTCTGCTCCTCTAGAAGGGTCTTTATGAAGATAAGTATTAAAGATGTATATTTCCCCAACAATATTACAAGGCTTCCTCGACAATTTACATCAGAATTGCAAGCATCTCTTTATTTGAGCAACTCGTTTTGACCAAGATCTTATTCAAAACGACAAATGGCAGTCTCCTCAAGACATTTTATCCATCTCTAATGGATTTATCAAAATTATCAACTCGTCCAAATGGCATCTCTCCAGAAATCCGTCAGAGAAGTTCGCCAAAGACATTACAGACACGTCTCTTTATTTGAAGATTTTCACTACAAAAATTCCAATACATTTTACAGCTACAACAAAGATACTCCTCAGGAATGTATTCCCCAGTGAGTTCACTTCATAAGTCTGACTCCACCAGATGGCATCTCTTCCGAGAAGTTTGATGAAGTTTATTACAATGGGTCTCTCTTTATTTGAGAAGACATATTTTACAAATCAACAGGCTTACATCTCTCCCGGAGATCCCTGTTGAAGCTTTATAATCTCTAACACATTTTCTTAGGCTATCATACATTTGATAGTAGGTAATATACCATTTCTTTTGGTCAGACACCTTGGCTTAGGCTACCATATGTTTGGTAGTAGGTGATCTCTCCATCTTTGGGTTATTACCTTTTCTTAGGCTATCATACATTTGATAGTAGGTAACATACCATTTCTTTTTGGTCAGATACCTTTTCTTAGGCTGCCATGTGTTTGGTGGTAGGTCATCTTTCCTTTGGTGTTCACCTTTTCTTAGGCTATCATATGTTTGATAGTAGGTAACACATCTTATTGTGGTCAGACGCCTCGGCTTAGGCTACCATATATTTGGTAGTAGGTGATCTCGACATCTTTTAGGTTATACCTCTGCTTAGGCTATCATACATTTGATAGTAGGTAATACACCGTGCTTTTGTGTTCACCTTTTCTTAGGCTATCATATGTTTGATAGTAGGTAACACACATATTTTGGTCAGACGCCTTTTCTTAGGCTGCCATATGTTTGGTAGTAGGTGATCTTTCCTTTTGTTTATTACCTTTTCTTAGGCTATCATATGTTTGATAGTAGGTAATATATCGTCTTTTGGTCAAACATCTTGGCTTAGGCTATCATATGTTTGATAGTAGGTAACATGCGTTTCTTGTTTCAACCGGATATCTTTGTTTAGGCTTCCACACGTTGGTAGTGGGCTACCCTTCACCTTCAAGATCGCGTTTCACTGCCCAAGCTACTGTACTCCTTGTGGTATTATTATATCTTATCTTCATTTTGGAGAATCCACAATGCTGATCGTTGTCTCTTCTCGTGGCGTCTCGCGTCGTTGAGTCTGTTCTTTGGGTGCCGTGTCCAGTTATTCCCCAGCGGCATTATTTCCCCACAGGAGCTCTGTCTAGAATTTTCATATCATTGCATATCATTTGCATTCGGTGGCCTCTTAGGGCCAAAAATTCGTGCAATGTTTGTATTTAAGTCCCTCCTATCTCGTCAAGACGAAGACCTCAATCTCCATATCTCCGGATATAAGAAACTTAAATAGGGGCATCTGTCACACCCTAATTTTTTACCTTAAGATTCCACCTCCCTGTTTTTTTCTTTCTTGCGTGTTTTACTCTACTTATGTATGCATGTTTATTGTGACTAACAAGTGTATGCAGATGCAGTAATTTCAAGTGTATATTCTCAGGCAGTACCTCAAGACGTAACTAGTTGGTTCTGGTTCAGATTTGGTTATAGGATTTTCTATTTGGGTCCTTTTTCCCTCGATATCTCTCAAAGGTCTATACTCCTAAAGGGAATCAAGGTCTCATCAAGAGGAATGCCTAAGACTTTCACAGATCAAGGCAATTATCGGGCCATTGGGATCTCAAATTCACGAAAGTGGTGTATTTGCATTACTGCCTGTTTCAAATTGCGAGATAAACTCTACATTAGGAAATTTGCTTTACTCAACCTCACGCGGCCATGCTTACAGATGAAGAGTGATCATTTGGAGCTCTACGAATGCGATTGTCA